GTCTGTACCCTCTCTTGCTAATAGGTACAAACGATGGTGTCTGGGAAAAGAAAGCGGTGGCTTCATTTTATCTTTAAATGGCCCGTTCATGGTAACAGAGTACAAAGTTTGATATCCAACAAATTCTTCTTTTTACTGAATTCGCTCCCAAACAAGGAGATAATGCCACTAAGACGCACGGAGGCTAATGGAATTGAAAGACAAGGAAAGACTTTAGATGCAATCCTAAACGGGAAATAAGGGATAATCTTTTACTCTTGTTCAAAAGAACATGGAGGAGTGTGAACCTTCTTAATCGTAGAATGATCAACTGTGAACCGATCGGCTACGATAGAACCAAACTCAATAAAAATCTTCTTATTTTATGTACCATGTCTCTGCAGGACGTAGGCGATCATCATTCTCCATAACTTCAACTGAGTCTATATTTTAGGGTCCCTCCTGTAGCTCTATCGTTAACAAGTTCATCTGGTAGACAAGTGTTCAAAATTCTATCCTTATTGGGCAGGAGTTCTTGATGCTTAACGATGCGAGTTTAGTTAACTGTTATTACTGATTAGTAATCCATATAAAATTCAAAATTAAATAATCCAATAATGGATAATATACCGTAAAATCAACTAATCAAACAGAATATTTTGGTTCCCATTTTTGTGGTCTGGTGCATACAAGGCTCAAGAGCCAATCAATGCAGAGGCTTTTTAAATGAGGTGAGTAATATGAATGTAAGGAAGGGAAGAATATGAAGATATAGAAATTTTGAAGGTTCCTAGTTCACCCTTAATTATAAGGGCACGACTCAGCCTCTATTTTTGAGCAGGGTAGCTGGATTTTCTTTTCTATTTTATAATATCTTTCATATGAACCATGTAATTCAGAACTTAAAAATGGACGCTGATATAATTCCATACAATGAAAAAAAAAGATAATTTTTCCTTCAAACTAAACACTCCTGGGTCAAAAAACAAGAGAGAACACTTCTAACGAGAAAAGAGAGAGAAAATGTATCATTGATTAGAGCAGAGGTGCCCAATCTTTCTTGACATTATCGCCAAATTTCACAGGCAAAAACTTTCCATCGTCCACCTGCATAGTAAATATTGAAAAGGACACCAAGATTCTTTGGTAAGAGTTTGTTACTGGTTCGTAAACTAACTTTATGATGTAGTAAAAATACCAAACGAGGTTGTCAAATAACGCTGACTTATGCGGCGGCTATTGCTGCTATTACCGTCTTAAAGAACAAACATATGTACACTACATTATTTGGAGTATTGTCCTCATCTTTGTCGCCATATTTATTAAAACGTTTCGGCCGTTGTACGCTCCGGCCTTCATCAGGTGTTTGGAATGTCGAACTGAACCCTTTATTTCGCTCACTGGGGTAGATTGTTCTAGTTCCACGTGCCATGTTTAATGGATGTCAGTTATCAGTTATCTCCTCTTAATCCCCCTCTCCAAGTTCTCCACTGCCTTAACCGGGTATTGAACTCACACTCTTTGGGACCTGTCACGGACACATGGCACAATGGATAAAGGCGTTGGTTAGATCCAGCGACAGGAGCCAAAGGGTTGTGAGTTCAATACCCGGTTAAGGCAATGGATAACTTGGAGAGTTCGACATTCCAACCACCTGAAGAAGGCTGGAACGTACAACGGCCAAAACGTCGTAATAAATATGGCGACAAAGATGAGGAAAATATTCCGAATAATGTAAATAGTGTATATAATACCTCATCTCAGAAATATAGACAGAAGCAAACTTGACCATTGAAAACTATATATATAATTTTGTTTAATGGTCAAAGTTAGAGTTATTGTTAGCGGTGCAATTGTGAAAAGATTTTGTTCATAATTATAAAAGTAAAAACAATATACACTAGTGAACATTTTTTTATGTCTAATACTGAAGAACTATTTGAATGTTAGTGGCTCTTCTCAAAACTAAAGAAAATACTAAAATATTCATTGTTTGCGAAGATATTTATATCTTATCCAGGAATGTAACCTAGTTATTTCCATTTAGCCTACTGCTTTGTTTCTTTTATTTTTGACAGGTACTTTACATATATCCTCTGATTTTTTTTGGGCGGGGTGTAAAATACTCAAAATCCTATATCAACCAGCAAAATTTTCAATCGATCATCACTCTCTGTTCAGCTACTCATCGCCCACCCAACAGTTGAAATCGCTCCCCACTTATTGTTTTTATCGGTGAAACTAAATAACTTGCACAGTTCTCATTGACTCGCCGATCCTACACCAATTTATCTATTTTTTATATCTAAAACTATAATTTACAATTATAAATACAATTTGTATTTATACATATTCGCTACATTCCTTTAATATTTAATATGCTAGAGATTGATTCCCAGTAAGTGTCTGTTTTCTTCTTTTTAATCATTTCATCCTAAGCAAGGCGATAATGCCATTAAGATGCAAGGGATAACTGGGAGTGAAAATAAGTGCTAAAAAGTTAGTGAGGAGAAAAGGCAATAAAAGAACAGAATTCAGGAAGACAGAAGGTTGTGGATGATGTTATATTTGACCTTTTGAAGATCGTAGTTGGCAGTTGTTATATAGGAATAAAGTGTCACTGCCGACACTTGAGTTTGAACATAAATTGCTGGAGAACAAACACAGGCGATCCCATTATTGAATTAACTAGACCACGTGGCCCTAGAGGAAATGCATATATGGGAGGTAGCGTGTGTCTAATTGATCGCTATTTCTAGTCTATCCTCTATTACTATTCGGATCTACATTTCTACGCTATCCACTTATTACTATACAGACCGCTATTCTCTATTCTCTTCTCTACACTATTCTCTATTCGGATCACTATACGGATTATTTTCCGAGCGAGTATTACGAGCAAGTACTATTAGTGCGAGTGATATTCGAAGGCATCTGACACCAGTATTGTTCAACGGCGTTACTATAGTTGTATTTGCGATTACAAAGTCTCTCCTACAACGAGCATTACAAAAGTGACAACGAGTATTCGTTGGTATTACAAAAGTGGCAACGAGTGTTCCATGACATCACAACATTAGTGAGGCTAGATACCGGAAAGGAATTCCAAAGTCGAGAAATTCGAGAAAATAAACTACTAGCCATAATAATTCGGTGCTAATCGTTGCAGTTTTTACTTAGAGCTACGTACCACCATTAATTCTCTAAAAAATTATGATAGATTGATTAAAAAAAATACCCCAAACTTAATAGAAACAAAGTTGTATCGTCAAAATCTTTATCAAGAGGAAAAACTAAAGCATTTTTTTGATTATTGAATTATATATTTTTTCATCCTTTTTAGAAAGTTCGAAATTTTGATTAAAATTTTTTTTCGTTAACACGGTCTAGGACAGCTATCGACGGCCTCCAAAAGTTCCGTCTACCCAATTTCCCTCACAAGGTTTGGGCCCATCGGTGATATAGTTTTCAGGCACTTTCCAAAGATGCTGCACACTGGAAACGACCCCTCCAGTCCGATGACATCAGAAAGTCTCCTTCTTGGTAAATTCGAACCCGGGTATCAGGCTTAGAATGCGAACGTTCTAACCATTCGGCCACGTGCCTATTTCTTTGACGAGAGACTTGCAAAACATAATCCATCATCAAGAATAGTTGCGTCGATTCGAGTTTTTTTCATTATTTATTTTTTGCTATTACTCTCAAATTTCGGCATTCAGCAAATCATGATTCCTTGAAAAAGTACCGTATATTTCCGTATATAAGGCGACCTTTCGATAAGATGAGATCACAAAATATTGCAAATTTTCATGGATTTATCCTCTACCTAGATTTAAAAATAAAAAAAGATAACGCAATGGATTTCAGCATAGAAAGGGGAATCAGTGAGACGAATTTAAATTACAGCCTACTATACTGCCTACACTTCCGCACTAATGCCCTTGGAAAAGACAAGAACAGAATTCTTCTAGTCCCCAACACCCACCGCTCTAGCTAAGTGTTAAAAAGTAGGTTTTCCTGACTTGGGTAGAATCAAGTTTTGCAGAAAGAGTACTCTGAATTCAAAACAGTAGATTAGGGAACGAGAAATCTTTTCACTATCTTTGCCAAGTAATCATGGCAATTCACAGATAATAAAGAAAATGAATTTGTGGAGATATCGTGATATTAAAACATGTTGTTGCCTGAAGTTTAACTATTGTATATTTCCGCGTATAAGTCGACATTTAGATAAGATATCAAAAAATATATTTTCATGAATTTATCCAATACCCCTGTAGCATAAGATGACTGCTTATTCATTATATAAAGATGATGTTATTGAAAATGTTATTACTTACTGTATCCTTAGAAATTCAAAACTGATTCTATAACAGGTTTTTTCCTACACACGTCACCTAAAAGGAAAACCATTGTTTTGTTTACATTTCGTCACGTGATCTCTTGTTTCTTCTTCTTCCTCTTCTTTTCTTATATCTAAACTGTTACAGACAAGTGTACTAATGGCTATTTACTTATATTTCATCGACAATCACAAAATACCGTTAATAACAGTACGATAATCAACTATAATATTATATTCCCTTGCTCTGAATACAGTTATAACACCATGTTTACATTTTCTCAGTTGAGCTTGCTTGATATACAAGTTGATTTCATTGATATGGGATTATTCTTCAAATAGGCAGTTTATTATGAAGCTAGAAATATATAAAGTAGAAATGGTTTTATTACTTTTATCATCAATTTATTTGATAAAATGAATCTTTACATGTATGTTATTAATTATCTCACTGAGGCCAACATTAGCCTATAGATAAACATCACTCAGAATTTCAGGTTTCTTTTTTTTTTAGAATTGTTGTATAAGACGACCCCCAATTTTTAAGGGTGATTTTGGGGATTTAAAGGTCGTCTTATACGCGTAAATATACGGTAGTTAAAAATAAATATAATTAGGAGTGAAATACATGACATTCACTTTCGTTCCTGTTAATTTTTCCTATTTCAATCTCCTATGTTCATTCTTCGGTGATTATCACATTTCCGGAAGCGGTGTCAGTGAGAAGATCATTGGTCTGGTGCCCGTATTGTTGAAAGGGGCGATTCAAATGGAATGATTCAAAGCTATTTGAAAGAAAGAAAGAAAGAAAGAAAGAAAGAAAGAAAGAAAGAAAGAAAACGAAGACTTCAAATAAAGAAAAATCTGCAATATTATCTGCCCTGACCTAGCATCTCGACTTCAACATTTTCCCACTGCCGTAACATAGCTTCGTTGCGCCTTTTCTATAACTATTTCCATTCTAACGAACTTTCCTCTTTGGTACACGATGAGGATAGATTTTAAAATTGTTCTTTTATCTCCCACCACAGACAAAAATTGCACTTACGGGAACTAATTAGCACTACATAGAGACTCTGAGGTATTATGGTGGCTGTAGTTAGAATAGTAAGTAAGAATGTTTTGTTTTGGCATAAGGAATACTGTGGTATGATTGAATCAGTAATCGTGTCTAGATTAAGTTTAAGATATGACAAATTGAAGACCAAACTTCTTTTATCCCAACTTTGGCCTTGTGTCACATTTTTGTATTATTCAAAATAGATATTGTTTGCCTCTTTGGTAGCTCAACGAATTTAAACGCAGTACTAGATTGGCAGCTAGGTCTCATCATTTTAGTGATGATATTGCTAAATGTAAATGCTAAATTTGTTAGTTTTTTGTGTATATATATATATATACGTAACTAGTGAGTTAGTCAAAATGACTTAACTCCCTTTATAGTGTACCAATAGAAGGTTAACCAATCAGAAGCCGCAGAACATTGTATCCGTCGTGTATAAAGGCGGTCATTTTTGTTTACCCTACCCGAATGACCAGTGCCAACTTGTCCGGCGAAGATGACAGAAGGAAGAACTACGCTTTCCTACTTTGCTCCGAAATATTCACTGCTAACCTTTGGATTCTATACTCGAAACGACCTAACAAAATTTAACCGTAAGTTCTTTTCTAATAATTTCATCTTTCGCACTTCTCGCCTGTGGAACTATCTTACGACTTCTGGTTTCCAGTCACCTCAGTCAGTTATGTCCCATGTGTGATACACGCTTTGGCGATCATGTATCTTTCGATATATGACTGACGAAGCAGATTTTGTTCCTGCAGTAGGTTGGTTGCCAATTCTTTCTGCGGTAGACCAGTTGCCATCCAAGCCAACCCTATTTACCCATAGCTGGAGGGAGAAGAAGAAGATTCATACCTTTCCCAAGGGTATAAGTGGATGTAATGGATTCGACTGGAATTCGAACTCGGCTCTCTGATTCTTCAGTCCGAGCCGCTATCCATTACTCCACTGTGCTACAATCTTCAGAAAATGAAATGGAACCTCAGTCGTCATTTTCTATCTCTTTGAATCCTGTTTTTTGTTTGTTTTTTTTTTGTTTTTGTTTGTTTTTTTTTGTTTTTTTTCGGTTTCCTTCATTCAGTAACTCTTTGTGTCGTAGTGACTTTATCTCCTTGCTTCTGGCGAAATGATACAAAAAACGATAGACTTGTTTCTTATTGTCCAAGGAGCATAGAATATACTAACTACATGTCATGTTGTGGAATAAGACTACCTCTCGATTTAAATAGGCCTCTCTCCGGGTCGATGCATTTAGACTAAAGACTGAAGCTGATCAATATTTACCCAGAGACTGAAGTATAAACCTGGCCAATGCTTACGTATCGACTCAAGTATAGTCACAGCTAATGTTTCTAAAGATTCAGGTATAAATATTACCAAAGTTTATTCATAAACTCAAGTATAAGCCCAACCAATGTTTACGAATAGACGTCAGTATAGACCTGGCCAATATTTAACTCATACATTCACAACAATCTTTTCTAAAGGTTATAATATAGACATGAACAATATTTACCAAAACACTCCATTATAAACATGAACAATGCATTTATAGGTAAGCGATAGTAGGGATTATAATTATTGCAGACAAGCATTCTTCAAGTTTATAACTGTGCTTATAAATAAACACTAGTCAGGTTGATACTTTTGTCGAACTTATACTTGAGTATGAAATTATACTTCTGAGAATGGATGTAGTCGACGTATTCTAGGACCAGCCACCAAAACAAGAGTTTTCAATTCTTTTGTTCAAGTTTTTGGTATCACAATTATTATACGTAATTCGGTCGGAAATTTTCTAGTCATTTTATTTTAATCAAAAAAAAAAACAAAAACTTTACCTGGGGCAATGGCGTCTTACATCGCTTAAAAATAATTCCCTTTAGATTTCGCACTTATCTCAACATTCTTTCCAATTTTCAAGATATTTTATGGCCACTTTCGAGATTTCCATCAGCTGCCTTGTTGCGTTCTCCTTAATCTCGTTCACGTCGTTTTTTCAATTGCTTCGGGAAAAGACAGACGTTATAGAAAGCCAAATCTTGATAGGTGGACGGATTGATAGGTTTGATGCTTTGACAAAAAATAGCATAAATAAAAGAAAAAAATGCAGCTAATTTTCAAATGGGTTTCGATCTTATTTCGAGGTTGTCATAAACTATTTCGTTATGTTCACCTTAATCTCATCCACACCATTTCAACTGTGAATTTAGCTTTGAGAAAAGCCAGAAATCCCAGGATAAAAAATCTGGACACTAAATATAACAAGCTTTAGTCAATGGCGTATTACCGCCGACTGTGTAACTCCGAGAGACAGTGTTTTTTTTTTGTTTTTTTCACACATGCGCTGAAAGGTTTCCGGTTTTATTACCAAGTTACTTCAAGATTGTCTGGATATTCAAAATGGCTGGATACGTTTCGAACAGATCTCGTAGACATCTAATAGTAAAACGTGTTGGGGAATTAAATATAAGAATTAAATATAATCACATGAAGGGAGTTGAATAAAATATACCCTGACCGCCAGTCTAGCAAATCTAAAAATGCTGATGTCAGTGCACATTGCATAAAACCGGAAACTCAGCCAAATTCCTTGAGAGACGTTGAAAAAAAAAGCGGGAAGAAAACCTGTTTTAATTTTTCATCAAAAGTCAACATTTGATATGCGTTTATTTCTGAAAGACTTGACGCCTATATTAAGGAAACGTACGAGGCGAGCATAAAATTACGGAGGACGAACGACCCATCACTTGTTGATGACGGGGCAGTAAATAGCGGGAAGGTGGAAGGAAGGTTCTTTCTACACTAAAAAAAAAAAAATAACAAAACCAACAAAAAATTAAACTGGGTAAGTGCTGCTGATTTAGTTATCTTTGTAATTGCGTTTTGTTCATTTGGTGTCACCTTAATCTTTGTCTTCAGTAATAAGAAAAGAAACTAAAATATAAACAGAAAAATGGCGTTAAAAATAACAAAGAAAAAAACACGACAAAATCTGGTCCCATTAAAAGAAATAGTCCCTTCACTTAAAAGGAACTATCTTCTAAGTGTCGCTAGACATCTCCTCGTAGAGTTATTGCAAGCAAACTGATCTTGTGGAATATTCCTACTATAGTGAGAACGATACTCACTGTAACTTTCTGCTAAATTTTGTTGAACAGGCATGCTTCATGGTGAAACAGTCGATAAACTAGTATGAATTACCATTACTACTGTAGGGTATTCGCGCCTTACAGTGAGAAATGAGCTTGAAAATTTAAACTCAGAATTATTAAATGTTTACATGACATATTGATTCCAAGTGATATCGTATTTCTAATTGTATTCTCACTTTTGATTCTTTCAAATTACCGTTCAAATGCTTTCGAATTATTTTCTTTTCAAGCTCAATCAAAATATGCGGTGCCTTTTTATTAGGTACGGCCACAGATTTAAGATACTTAAGTTTAAAATGAATCTTTAAAAATGAAAAATCCTTCTTGAAGGGTTTATTTCAGTTTTAATTTCACGTTAATGGATTAAACTTAATATTTCCAATAAGGGAAATACCTTGCTGTATTTCAAAACTAAATTAAGTTGACTGGATGGAGTTTTCGTTTCGTTATCAATAACATCGTTGATTTTACCGGCATTCCGTCATCGTAATGAAATTCTCTTTATTAAAAGATCTTTGAAAATAAAATATACTTTTCTGAAACTTTATTTGTGGAATATTAACTGATTTGAAGTCTAATTAATCTGTTTTCAAATAAATATTACTTACTTTAAGTTTAAAATATCGCAGATATGCTTTTTTGGACAAGACGGTAGCTGTTTATTTTAGGTTTTGATAGATTGACATCTTGAAATACATATAGAAGTTTATCTCTTCTTTTTCTAAGGTGGATATATCTGTAAAATTTACTTGAGGCACCTTTTTTATGTAATTTTTAACTACGAATGATCTAAAAGATTTAGGAAAATATTCTCCACAGTCTAATGCTTTATTGTTTTTTAGATATTTTAGCTTTAAATCTACTATAGTAATCATTCTTATTTCACATAATGTCATGTATGGACGTCCGTATTTAAAATATCGGCTCGTTTATGCACACACATGGGCACGCGCACACAAACAAATTTCAAATTCTGTTTAAAATATTGGTGTTAGATCAATTGTACTAAGCTTTTACATTTATGATTAAAAAATATACCAATTACTTAATAACAATATCGATTAAGCGATAAAAGTTGATACTAAATTTTTTTTTAAAGGAATATTTACAAGCATATTTACAAGAATGTACGTAGCTTGACATACAAGGCAGGGTTGAAATGTCCATAGGCTGATTATGAAGACGTGATGCTAGAACTGTGAAACCTTGCATGCATTAATTTCAGCTCTTTTTATTAATAACTGCATTGTCTCTTCCCAAGTAAACTGATATCTGACTGTTCAAAGAAGACCTCAAAATTAATTAGTAACGACTTCTCTTGAAAATGGACAAAATTTGATTCCGTGCACCTGCAGAAATGCTGAAATGGTTGCTACATTAATGGATGCTGCTCCAGCTTTATCGACAGTACAAAGGTGGGCAGCTGAATTTAAGAGGAGAAGAGGAGGTCTTGAAGATGGCCCGAAGTCTGGACGTCCTGCAACTGTCACCAACGATGAAAACATTGATTGTGTTCACTATATGGTGATAGATGACAGACAATTGACTATAAATCAAATAGCCAATGCTATTAGAATATCCTGTAAAAGAGGTGAGAATATTTTGCCCAGTGAACTTATCATGACAAAGGTTTCTGCTCGTTGAGTGCCATGTTTTTTTTAACACATGATCAAAATTGCACCAAACTGATCACATCACAGGAAAATCTGACATTTTTTAGGCAGATCCAGCTGGTTTCCTTGAAAGTTTACAAACCCAGGCTGAGACAAAGGGACAATCAATGCAGTGGAAACACACCTCGACACCTGCTTCAAAGAAAAGCAACGTCGTTTCATCTGCAGGGAAGGTGATGGTCTCATTTTTGGAGGATGAAAAAGGTATTGTTTTATTGACTATCTTTAAGAGGGCCACACTATCAGTGGAGAGTACTATGCCAACTTGCTGTGGCAGGTTCACAAGACTATCAAAAACGAAACGATCAGGAAAACTGAAAAAGGAGTCTTGTTTCATTAGGACATTGCTCCAGCACACAAGTCTTTGGTTTCAATGGTTGCTGTACGTGACTGAGGCTTTGGATTGGTTGATCAACCTTCCCTATTCTCCTGAATTGACTATCATCTGTTCCCCAACATGAAAAAATACTTGACTGGAAGCCACTGTCGCAGGGATGATGACGTCATATACGCTGTTAATGATGTTTTTTACCAACAGGATGAACAGTCTTTCAACGGTCAGATATCATTTTACATGGAAAGAAACAATGCAGTTATAAATAAGAAGAGTTTAAATTAATGCATTCACAATTTCACAAATCTAGAATTACTCCTTCATAGCCTATGAACTTTTAAGACTACTGTTGTATATTCTGATAATACATCTAAAAATGTATTCATTCATATGAATGCAGAGTTTAATGTTATCAATAAAACCAATTCATTCTTAGGAGTGAACACTATCTTCAGTAACATCAGACCCCATGGTTGATAACAAGTTTCAAGTTTTTATTCTTATTCCATTTATTGAAGACTTGTTGCCACCTATTTATTGGCTGTAAAAAAAAACAAAAAAAAAACAGCTTCTTAAAACGGAGTATCTCCAAACATCTTTTTGGGTGAATATCTACAAAAATGTAAGAAAAATATGTATTCGTATGAAGAATATTTTAAATTTATCACTAAATTAAAGTGCTTAAAAATATTCAATTCGTATCAGTGAACAATTATGTTGCAGGCCATCATTCTTTATTTATATACGAGGAACTATTGCTACTTATTCACTGGCTATAGTAAAACAACTTCTTAAACTAATTTTTAAAGAAATATTTACAAGAATGTATTTGGATTGACAGGTATTCTGATAATGAATTTGAAAATGTATGTGTTCATATGTATAAAGGATATCTTGTTGAAATATATGAATAAAATAATTTTAAAATAATGAGGGAATAATATCTTCTTAAACATTAAAAGCTATGGGCGACAACACGTTCCAAACTATCATTTATCATTTGCTTATTGAGGACGTCTTACCACTTATTCACTGGCTGAGACAACAAGAGTTTCTTAAAGACATATGGGACCATAAATCTATTTTTGAAGGAATATCTAGAAAAATGCTGTTGCTTGACAGGTATACTGATCGTGCAATTAAGACCTTAGTCATTCATATGAGTGAATATTATCTTTGTTTCTAATGATGTCAATAACAGAATGCACTTTTCTTTGTTGGTCGACTTTAGAGGAGAAGGCGTTTAATGAATGAAATTTTTAATCATTTCACCCGAAGCAAAGCAATAAAGCCACTAATACACAAGGGGTTACTTAGTGTAAGCGGATATGTCAAAAATACTATTAAGGAGAGAGAAGAATAAAAGAACAGGAATTAAGAAAATAGAAGATAACAATTGACATTACAGTTGAATTTTTGAAGATCAAATTTGACTGGAAAGCATGGAGCCGGAAGAGAGTTCCACAAACGAGAAGTGCGAGAGAAGAACCTATTAGCATAGAACTTACGTTCACATCTCAACGGTAAAATAATTAAACCTTGCCGTCAGTTATGTGCCATGCATGATACACGCGTAGGTGATCATTTTTCTTTCGATACATGACTGACGAGACAGATTTTTTCCCGCAGTAGGTTGACATTTCTTTCTGCGGTAGACCAGTTGCCACCTAAGGATACAGAACCCAGTCTGTCCTGCTATTTACCCATAGCTGGAGGGAGAAGAAGAAAATTTATACTTTTCCAAAGGTTATTAGCACGTAAGTGAATGTAATGGATTCGACTGGAATTCGAACTCGGCTCTCCGATTCCTCAATCCAAGCCGATATCCATTATTCCACCGTACCTCAATTTAGTCCTGAGCTTAAATTCACAAAGCCTAGGTACCATAATGGAAAGTTCACCAGAACAATTACCCTGAATGTATTTATAGAAAAGGCACAAAGAAGCTACATTATGGTAGAGATGCTAGGTTAAGATCAATAATATTGCAGATTCTTCATTGGATTTTATCAAGAATCTCTAAATATATAGCAAAAGCACTAGACCATATGTGGCAGCAATATTCAAATCATGGACGAATGATAAACTTATCTCTATCTATAAAAGGTAGGATGTGTGTGTGTGTGTGTGTGTGTGTGTGTGTGTGTGTGTGTGTGTGTGTGTGTGTGTGTGTGTGTGTGTATGTAACGAATGCAAGGCTGCAATTTTCGACGGATTTGCACCAAAATTTACATGCACATGCCCCAAGTTAGCGGGAAGGCTAAGACCGACGTTGTATTTCCCAAATCCCATCGATAGTGGAAATAATCGATTTTTTGATGCTTCTACGGCAGTTTTCATGTAGTTTGCGGCCATTTTCTACTCGCCAGAGTAAGAGCCAATAGCTGGCTGCCACGAATTGGCAGGAAGATTCTATTGGCCAGCGTGAGAGCCAACAGCTGACTGACACGAATGTTAACTAGCATGCTAGCATGCAAAAAAATATCGATAGCTGCATTCGTCACAAGAGGGAAAAATTTAAATCTGCATGGCACTTTACTCCAATTGGCTCATTCGCTTGCTTAAACTCAACGTTGATTCTGATTCTGCAGAACCGGGTTGGGTGTGAAAAAGTATTTGTTGTTAACGTTCTTTTTTCATTCGGTTTTTCCAGTTACGAGTCCTTTTTTAAAGCTGATCGTTTTGTGTTCATTTTGTTTAGTTCTCAGTGTGAGATAGGCAATAAGTAAGGCATGTAGCAACATCACCACGGCAAAGGGCACTCCTTTAAAGGCAAGGAAGGGCAAAAATATTTTAAGTGATAGCGATTGCTGTATGAGTCGTACGATTTTTGAATCAAGCACGGGCGACGCCGGGCCATGCTGCTAGTAAATATATAAAATAGATTCCGCCAAGAAAAATTGTCTAGCACGAACCAATTTTTATAGTAACAGGCCTAATAATTAATGCAATATAATCTTTCCACTTCATGTCAACGCAAATCGTTAGCCCCACAAAACTATAAAACTGATGAATTGATCGCTTCTGAAACCTCTTCTTCTATCTCACTGTCTCATTCTCTCACTCTCTCATTCTCTCACTCTCTCATTCTCTCACTCTCTTATTTTACTGTTTCTCCTCCTTTTCGTTCTCTGATTTATTTCTGTTTTTCCATTAACAGACTACAATTATAATGCAAACGCAATCCTAATCCTAACTTTAAACAAAACTTCCGTTTTAGCAATATCTTAAATTGTTCATTTTTGTATTGTCATTTCAGAAAATGTCCAAAGTTAGGGTGTGTGCGTTTTTAAATTGTTATTATTTACCCAGAGCTAAGACGTTTGTATTCTGATCTTTAAACTATAGCGTTCCCCACAAAAATGTAGCAAAAATACGTCGAATGCACGCCCTGCAAAAACGTAAGACCTCCGCCAGAAACACCATCTAAAAATTAAATACTTACAGACACAAATGTAAACGAATAACATCTACTTTTCTTCTTCTTCTTCTTAAGAAGAAGAAGAAGAAGAAGAAGAAGAAACAAAAAGGACACTTATATTTGATAGCAGAAAGAGACAGTCTAAATTTCTGAGACGAGAGGGCTTAGAAAATTTGACACTTACAAGACATAATGAAGGTAAAATGGACTGAAAGCTGAAAATAATGTAGCTCACGAGTTTGTATAAATGGTTGGCAGAACAGGGATTAGGAAAGATAACAAAAAGACAAAATTTACTAAAAGCTACAAAGGACAGAAAATTGTGGAGAGCCATGATCGCTCACGTTCTTAAGGGACATAGAACAAGAAGATTATGAGATTAGGGTTTTTTTTTTATTTGAGCATGATATTAATTTTTTCATTTATGTTTAGGAAACTGAATTCGATTGTTTCGTGGAACAAATAAATCAGTCGTTTTGGTAAAATAGAACAAATAACCTTTGGCTATTGTTACCGTCTTTCTTTAACCGGGTGGTAACCCGTAAAAATCGAACTATCAACAGTCGTAATGGTCTACAAGAGAAGTTCGTAATGCAATACATGATATCGAAGTAACTAAATATCTATTTGATAGTCTGACACAAGTCTATAAATTTGAAGATCGACGGCCGTGAAGGGGCGAAATTGTTACTAAGACATAATAAAAGCTGATATCATTGTATGAATTGAATTTAATCAAACTCACCATAGTAACATAGCTTCCCTTTTGACTTTTAAATAAATACTTTTATGGTAATTATTCCGACGAGATTTCTTCTTTGGTATCTAGACTTTATGAATTTAAGCGTACGATCAGGTCTCATCATCTAACAGTCGAAATGGCTAGATGTAACCGTAAGTTCTATTCTAAGAGTTTCCTCTCTCGGACTTCTCGTTTGCGCAAGCCTCTTCTGTTTTCTTGCTTTCTACTCATCTTCGATCTTCTAAGATTTAATCAAACTCACCATTATAATTTAATTTCCATTTACCCTTTCTATAAATACATTCATGGTAATTTGCTCTTTGGCATCAAGATTTTATGAATTTAAGCCTACATCTAGGTCACATTATCTTACAGGTGAAACGGCTATATGTAACCGTAAGTTCTATGCTCACAGTTTCCTCTCTCGCACTTCTCGTGTGTGGAACTAAACTTCTTGCTTTCCAATTAAATTTGATATTGAAGATTTTAAATGCAATGACAATCGTCATCTTCTATTTTCTTAATTCTTGTTCCCTTATTGTTCTTCTCCTTAATAATGTTTCTTTTTCTCATATTCTCTCATACTCAGTAACCCCCTGGCGTCTTCGTGGATTTATTGCCTTGTTCGGGTTAAATGATTAAAAAACTGCCTAGCACACAACCAATCTTGACCTATCTCTATTGCTGCTTAGGGCGATTTCGTGTACAAGTCGACTATATTGATTTTTGTCATTTTTTTTTCCATTATGAAATTGAAGATTTTTGTTAGGTCGTTTGGTGTTCTAAGTCTTTCAAAAAGATTTTTACAAGAATAAGCCTGCACTTCAAATGTTTATTTCCCACAGTTTATGAAATGTAATTCATTTCTTTTCTTTAAATCCATTTATCTTACACGTTTATACATTTGAATTTTCTGTTTATTTTCTTTTTCTTTTGTGATTGACATACATTTTGGAAGGTTAACGCTCCTGCATGTTTTGAAATGTCAAATTTGAACCAATTTTACTTGAAATTTAAGTGCAAACGGGAAAACCTTGGCAAAAGAAAAAGAAGAAGAAGAAGAAGAAGAAGAAGAAGAAGACTGATGTGCCAATGAAAAGAAAAACAAAGAAAAGAGAAAGTAAAAATGAAAGGGAATAGAAAGAGAGAAGTGGGAAAGACAAAAGCAAAAAGAGAGAGAGAGAGAACTGTGAAAAAATCAAAAACAAATAAATGAAACAAAAAGAAATACGGAAGGAAGGAAGGTAGGTAGGAAATTAAAGAAAATTATATTATAAAGAACAAAAGAAAGAACGAAAGAAAGAATGAATGAATGAAAGAAAGGACGAAAGAAAGAAATGTTTATAACGAACAAAAATAGAAGAGCTTAAAAAAATATGTGATTAGACATAAAAGATAGGAAAAAGAAAAATTTTCAACAGAATTTTCTGGTAAAGTACAGAAAAGTGAAGAAGAAGAAGAAGAAGAAGAAGAAGAAGAAGAAGAAGAAGAAGAAGAAGAAATTATTACAATTACAACAGAAAAAAAAAACGTATAATAGACACAAACAGAATAAGGAAAAAATTTCAAGACTATAAAGGCGCCAGCCCATGAAGTAATGGTTAACAATCTAGTATTGTAGATCATAATATTGAGTTCGATCCTCACTAGAAGCTTTTCACTTTTGGTCTTCTAATAGATTAAGCTATTCTAAGTATCTATTAAACATAGTATACACTGAGAAAAGCTCAGAACTTATGGTATCAAGTGATGATTAATCGCATAACTCTAGTAATGATTTGCTTAACCTGCTAATTAGACGCTGCTCCACGGTGGGGCGTCTACTTATTCTCTAATCTCTTCTTAGACTAGTACAGTAATGTGGCACCTAGTGAGCATCAAGAGTACTAGGTTTTTGAAGTGGTGTGCGAGACAGGCATGCTGACAACATTTCCCAGTACAAGCGTGTATTAAATAATAATAGCAAACTGTCAATACCTAAACTAAACAGCTACTGCCATGTAAAAATGCAATTCTGCGACATTCTAAACTTAAAATAAGCAATATTTGTTTAAAATAAGATTAATTAAACTTCAAATCAGCTAATATTTATTAAATAAAGTTTCAGAAAAAGTATATTTTATTTTTGAAAGATTTTTAATAAAGAGAATTTCATTGCGATGACAGAAGTCTAAAAATGAGGCTAAATGTTGTTGATTTTTTTTTAAGCCACTAACACGCAATGGGTTACAGAAAATTTGGAGCAAGATCAGATAGGAGTGATAGAGGAAAGGATGTGGAGAAGGATAGTGGATAGATCAAGGCAACTGGAGATGTCGATTGACATTACATTTGAATAGTTGAAGATTATAGGTCTCAGGGAAACTGGAATAGGGAAGGGAGTTCCACAGGCGAGAGGTGAGAGATATGAAGCTATTGGAGTAGAGGGGCGGCTACATTTAGGAGTTTCAACAGTGAAAGGGTGAGAGCTGGATGCCAGCCTCGTAGGGCGCTTGAATTCATGAAGTCTGGGAACCAGCGAATGCAGCTCCTCGGAGCAAAACGAAAATTACTTCCAGTCAATTTAGATTAGTTTCGAAATACAGCAAAGTATTTTGCTTATTGGAATTATTAATTTTAATCTATTAGCTTGAAATTAAACCGAAAATAAAAGCTTCAAGAAATATTTTCCATTTTTAAGAATTCATCTTTCATCTTCGGTGTCGTGAATCTGTGGAGGTGCCTTCTTTGAACTGTAGTTCAGTCTTCCAACGACGATTTGGATTGTTGAGATTTCTAGGTTGACCTTGGTATTTTCGCCTAGCCAACCGGACCTTGCGTTAACTGATTAAAGTTTTTTTTTTGCTAAAACGTCATGTATTCTGAGTAACTGAATTTTTAAAAAAAATGAAAGAATAAAAAATAAAATAAAACGAAAACCTCCAACGGAACGCATTTTGTGTTTTTTTTTTTCTTTTTTTCTTTTTTAGTCATTTCGCTTCAAGCAAGGCGAGAATGTCGCTAAGACACCAGAGGTTCATGAGAATGGAAGAGGAGAGGGTTTTAGTGAGATAAAAAGAAAGATAAAAGATCAGCGTTCAGGAAGACATAAGATGGCGATTGACGCTGCTTTTAAATTTTTGAAGATCATATGTGGCTGGGAAGTAAAAATCCAGGATAGGTGAGAATATCGAGAAAAGAATCTTTTAGAATAAAACACAGATCTAACTAATTCAGCAGTAAAACGATGAGACCTCTTCAGATACCTTACAAGTTTTCTATTTTGCAATCTAATTATCCACTATTACCACTAATATATAGATTTGGATATCTTCTGTAGAGTATTTTTTAATCAGTTCACCCAAAGCAAGGCGATAGTGCTACTATGACACAACGGGGCTACTGAAAGTGAAAGAAAATGAAAACACGTCAGAAGGAACTAGCTACAAAGGATAGGAAGTTGTGGAGAGCTATAAGCAGCCTTACCCTGTAAGGGACACTGCACACAGAAGAAAATAAAGAGGAAGAAACGAAAGGATAATAGGACAAATCTGTTGAGAGAGGGTTAGTTCAGATTTCCGAAAGCGTGGCTGTATTAACTGAAGTGGAGCAACTCGACGTGCATTACACCAAACTGGTCCCGCCAGATCAATTATGACGGAGTAGTGAGTTCGATTTTCATTGGGTGCCCTGTATTTTCGGCCTTATGCCACGTCTAGGCTACGCTTAGAAGATCATCTAACTGACGTGGGTTCAAGCCTGCCTGCAGCTACATAGACAAGTTCCGGTTTCTATCTCTATCATGTATCTTTATGTTTGTGTAAAATACTAAGATGAGTAAAATTTATAACATTTTTTCCAGTTTATGATGTACTTCTGGGACAAGATCACTATACTGGAGATCCCAATAAAAAGAAACCAAAAGACACGACTGATTTTCGGGTCAAAGCTAAATAAAATAAAATTGAAAAAAAAAAAAACTAAAAGAAAGAAAGAACGGTAATTGTCATATTAGCCGTTTCCTTATAAGGAAACATTTGGCATTCATTGACCGAGCAGACAGCATTACTAACGGTTGAAATTCATCAAATCTTTCTTTCAAAATGTTTTTTTTTAATATTTCTCAAGTCCACTAAATGTTATATCTCTTCCTAATTCTAATGAGTACTTCCATTCTATGCTTCTGTTCTAAGTAATGTAGTGATTTTCCAAGCGTAGCTTATATGCAGCACAAGCCCGAAAGTATGGGACAGCCAGTGAGGATCAAACTCACTACTCAGTCGTAATTGTTCTAGCGAGATAAGCTTGCTAACCATAACACCGCCCTGAGGTTCCCCTGTTCCAAGTAATGTAGAAAAGCAACATCTTTATTATGTCATTATTTTCTCTTCGAGTTACATGTCCTATCCATTTTAACTGTTGCTGCTGCTGAAAGTCTTCAATTGATATAGTTTCAGTTATCTAGTAGGGTCCTTTATGAACGTATAGTACCAGTTCGCGAGATCCGATGAAATATGGTACTCCTTAAGACATCCTGCATGAAGTTTCCTTGAAATTTTATCTTCTTTTTGCCCAACCCACCTTGCTGTCTAATGGTAATATTAGGTTAGTAGGAGTTTATTCAGCCAGAGAAGAGGTATGAGACTTACTGATTATTAAAATCTAGAGAACCGCTCTAAACCTTTTACCTGTAATGTAGAGTCGAATTTTTGTGGATTTAACTTTTGCCGATGTGATTATGAATCTGCTTGCTTATTTTTTAATCATTTCACTTCAAGCAAGGCAATAAAGCCACTACGACAAAAGGACTTAGTGAGTGTGAAAGAATAAAAAAAAAGAAAATCATTAAGTAGCGAGAAGAATAAAAGAAGAGAAATCAAGAAGACGGCAGATAACGATTGGCATTGAATTTACACTTTTGACGGTCGAAGTCCACAGGAGAGAAGTGCGAGAAAAGAAACTGTCAGTAAAAAAAAAAAAAAAAAAACTTTTACAGTTAAATCTGGCCAGTTCAACTGATATAAACTTGTCAATCTAGCAACACGCTTAAATTCATAAAGTCTACGTATCGTAGAGAAAAGTTCATCAGAGCAATTACCATTAAAATATTTACAGAAATGCACTGGGAAGATAACTTACGACAGTGGGAAAGTGACTGAAGCAGACTTGTTATGTCAAGACCAATAATATTGCAGATTCTTCTTTGGATTTTATCAAGAATCTCTAAATATATATCAGGAGCTCCAGACCATATATGGCAGCAATATTCGAAGCCTGGACGAATGGTAGCCTTATGAATATGTAAAATAGATTCTGTCGAGAAAATTGACTAGGAAAGATTTTTTTTTTTTTAACATACAACAAAAATAAAAAAAACCCAGTGAATGTCAGAATCTTCAATACCCCTTTTCCTCATTATGTGTTCCAATTGTATTTTTCTAATTCTCTTATTACGAGAGAACAGCTGACAACTTAGACATTTTGTTAACGAGTTACACACTGTGAGAGCCTAGATCTGACCAGACTATTTAAGAACATATCTCTAATTCTTAGGTTAATGTTTTCGTCTTCTATTATCTGCCGGCGTTTTTGAACAACACTACCTTGAGCACAGCCTATTCTATGTTCAATTTCCTTATAATCTACTAGCAGTAGAGCCCGGCGTTGCCCGGGGATGTAACAGTAAGAGATAGATCAAGTATCGACCATCATAAAGACTGAAAAATAAAATTGACAAAGATTATTGTTTAAGGTTGACGGACACGCATGTCTTAATTAGGTTTTTATTTTTTTTTTTTTTTTTTTTTTTTTACGAATTGGTCAAACTCAAACTCAAAGAAAAACATTGTTTTCAATTGTTATGAGTCTATCGACGGAGTAGAATTTTATTATAAGCAATTGTCTTGTAAATGGAATTTTTAGAGCATTCTGAATGTAAAAATAAAGAAAAAAGTGTGCAAGACAATAAGAAACAATAAGTTTTGTTGAAATCGGTTGAAAAATGTAGGAAATTCAATCCCATATATAAATGAACACACACACACACACACACACACACACACACACACACACACACACACACAAACACAACCTGGGTTTTATAATACGTAAAACTCGATATAAGTTGTCCCCCTTTCATTCTGGTGACAGAATCGTGTTTTATCGTGTTTTCAAATTGATTTCGTGCAAAAACAATTGTGTTTTTCCAATTTTTGGTGCTGCCAGAACCACCGCAAGGTAATTTTACGTAGTCCTGTGAAGTTTTGTTGAAATCGGTTGAAAAATGTAGGAAATCCGATTCAATATATAAACTTACAGACACACACACACACACAATTTGCGTTTTATAATAAGTAAGATACTAAAGTTCTTATAACTGATCCATGCACTGAGATATTTGAAGTGTTTAGTATTTATTAATTTCATATCCTGAATGTTTTTGGGTGAATTGAGGACATGTGCCATCACTACTTTCACACCAATTAATATCGTAGATTTGTTTTGAAAAAGTATTCTTGGAGTGCTACTTCTTGAAATACTTACAAGTAGTTTTTGTTGTTGTTCAAAAGCATTTTTAACCCAACTATGATGAACTATGTGATCAGTATAACCCTCATCATCATCTGTTCACTGGCTTTGGAAATTAAATCAGGGACACTGTTTACCATTAGTAGAAGGGTGGTTAGAAAGTAAAAGAAAGAAAAAATATGGAAAGAATGAATGATTAAAGAAAAACAAGGAAAGTCTAGAAAAAAGGGAAAATATCAAGGAAAGAAAAAAAGAAAGAAAAAGGTTTTCTTGGCAAAGTAAAAGAAAGGCTATAAGGAAAAGTAAAAGCGCAAGACTAGAAAAGTGAAGGCAAAAAGAGCAAAATAAAAGGAAAGAAAGAAGGAACAGTTTAAAAGAAAATCCAAAAAGAAAGAAAAGGTGAATGAATGAATGTAAAAGTGTTGTAACCTAGAAAATGTTACTGAATGAGGAATAATCAAAATGGAGGTTGAAAATGAATCGGTAATCTTTATAACATCAACAAAATGCAAAACTCGCCAGCGGCGTGAAGTAGGTAAACCACTGCTTGTGGTGGACTACTTAGACAGCATATTACGATATTTACTTGTCTCCCCACGAGGTAGGATGCAGCACAAGGCCAAATTTAATGTGAGGAAATCCGAGCCCATGGGCTCGAACAAAACTTGCCCATAGATCCAGCATTCGTGGGATCGGGTATGTCTACTTCCCCGGACGAGACTCTGCCCTTCTGCATAGCCTCGTTCGGGTTCGTCTCTGCTCAACGGAAGAAAGTTTGACACGGCAAGAGCTACTCACGCTGATAGCGCACGCTGCCAGTTTAGGCAACATATTACCCTCACTTACAATAGTATCCAACGTATTTATGAGGATTGGGACATACCCATTAGTGAACGGTATATATATATATATATATATATATATATGTTTGTGTGTGTGTGTGTGTGTGTGTGTGTGTGTGTGTGTGTGTGTGTGTGTTATAATCTAGAAAGGGTTACTGAAAGAGCAATAACCAAAAGAGAGGTCGGAAATGAAATTGTAATCTTTATAACATCAACAAATTACAATACTCGCCAGTTGCTTGAAGTAGTGGTGGACTTAGACAGCATATTACCCCCACTTACAATAGTGTCCAATGTATTTATTTATTTATACACATTAGTATATCATAGGTACGGTATATAACAAAAGGGAAGAAAGAGAATTAAAAGAAAAGAAAAATAAGAGGAATGGTTCTAAATAAAAGTAGAAAGAAGAAAATATGGAAGACAAAAAAAAAACAAAAACAACAAGAGAATGATTTTCAACGAAATGCTCTAAAAATGGAAAAAGAAAGAAAGAAATGTCAGCAGAAAGAAGAGAAAAAAAAGAAACTAGAGGATATATTCAAACATGTGGAAATTGATTTGAATGATGATGATGATGATGTAGTATCTGATTTGAAAACAAAACTGGCCATTTTCATGCACGCCTACACGAGCATGCGCACTCAAGTATTTAATTACATAATCTTTCTGCGCATGCGTCTCTCCCAGCGGATCCACATTCTCACGCACGCGTCAATATAATCATGGCTTTTCCACTGTTTCATTGTTTTATTTCTTTGTTTTGGAAAGGCTTTTGTTTCTGGTTCGTCAGCTCATTTTTACAATTTCGCCAGACTCTTATCACTTCATGCAGACTTGTAACGACACTCTGGTCAGAACGAGCGAAAAATATCATCGATTGGTCAATTCTCTTTAAAAGTGCATTAAAAGCTTTTTATAAAGTTCAATCTTGAATCTTCGGTTGACTTGTTTGATTGGTTCATTAAAATGGATTCTAGTATTTAGTAATGTGTAGCTATCAAAGTATCGTTTTTCCATCTGAGTAACGCTATGTGAACAAACACTGAAAACAGCTGAACCCAACCCACTTACTAAAATCAACCTTCTGATGTATGGTCATTAAAATGCGAATTTTAGGGAGCGGGTTGGGTCGATAAATTTTCAGCACTACTTTGCAGGAAAGGTATATGATAGAATCTATAAATATATATGAAAGGTCAAGATAGATAGATAGATCCCAAAAGTGTATCCGCGTCCTTGTGGGTAACAAAGGATTTCCCATCCTACAGCCCTTTTCCCCACAAATGAAACGTCACAAACCTCTCACTGCTCTATCGCTATTTTTACGGAAAGTGCTCAGACGAACTATATTCCTTAGTTCCACCAGTTCTAATCTTCACGGTTAAGACCCACCATGTTACGCACATTGTAATGAATCACCCTCATTCCTTTCGTATTCCATGGAACCGCTGCTCTGTGAAACTGAGACCCAAGATATTTTCACGATCACTACAATCTTAAACTGTTCAAGTTTAGTGCTAAGTGTTACCGTCCACGCGTATCCACATAAACTGGGCATTTTACTCAGTAACTCTCTACCTCGAGTGGCTCCTGGGCTTGTACAGGATGAACCGCAAAGTAAAAAAAAAAAATAGATAGATATGAACTGATTTAGACAGAGAAACTAGACTGGTTAATTTAACGACATGTTCTGACTGGTTGGATTATTTAATGTCGAAACATATAAACATTAGTTCGGACAATACTTGAGTCAGAGGCTAAACTTTGGTTCAGTATAGAGCCCAAAGCATGCCATTCTTTACTCATGGTGCAATATTGGTTCCGTTTATACTATCTATGGGTTATTTAATGCCGAAATGTAAATAATTTGAACAATTTTATGGCTTGATATTTTGAACGGAATTGTATGCCTTCAATTACAGACAAAAGATATTGTTGCTAATTTTGCCATAAATAGGTATTGTTGGCAATTCTTTTAACATACAAATGTATTGCTGGTATTTTTAGCATAAAAATTTTCTTCTCCTTCTTCTTCTTCTTCTTCTTCTTCTTCTTCTTCTTCTTCTTCTTCTTCTGAATAAACTAATTTCCAATGTTATTTCATCTCCTGTATTTTCAACAACTTTTCTACCTCTCTTTTCTTCTGTCTTTAGTTATGCCACTTTTTAACCCCTTTTTATCTTATCGCTCATTCTGCCTTACATTTTAGTCTATCGCTGTTTCTAAGATTTTAGTCTCTCTTTCTGCCTTACATTTTAGTCTATCGCCCTTTCTTTCTTACATTTTAGTCTCTCTTTCTACCTTACATTTTAGTCTGTCGCCCTTTCTTTCTAACATTTTAGTCTCTCTTTCTGCCTTACATTTTAGTCTATCGCTCTTTCTGCCTTACATTTTAGTCTGTTGCGCTTTCTGTCTTACATTTTAGTTTATCACTTTTTCTGCCGTACATTTTAAAGAATCCCTCTTTTTCTAGATTTAGTCTATCGCCATTTCTTTTTTTATTTTTAGTCTATCTCTCTTACTTTCTTTCGTCCACCATCGTTCACTTTTCTTCTCTTCCAGTCAACCTTTCTTTCTAGTTTGCAACCCCCCCTTCCCCACAAACCACGACATCCAAATAATAGAAAAAATACCAGAAATAAAACTACAAAGCATATACACTTCACTCATAGATTCCTCTTCTTTTATTCTGTCTCTCTCTCTCTCTCCACTCGTAGCCGTTCCTCGTAGAATTCTCGCTTTCTCACTAGCTTCCCCCTTCTCTCTCTCTCTCTTTCTTTCTCTCTCTCTCTCTCTCTCTCTCTCTCTCTCTCTCTCTCTCTCTTATACGCTTTCCGTGAATGTAACTTTTGGGATTATCTTCTATGGGTATCAGTTTTCGGTACCTTTCCCAGGACGACGTCCGTCTAATACAGTTTCTCATCTATGTATGATCTGAATGGAACTTGTCATCGTCGTCGTCGTCGTCATTGTTGCTTCCCTGTGAATTACTGAAATAGTTAAATTGCTGGAAAAGTTCGCTGATTGAGTCAAAAAGATAGAAAAGTCTTCTTTTTTTTTTTTTTTTTGCTGCTTGCTACGTGATTAAAACAGTCATATATTTTCCGAAAGGACCAAGGGCCGGTGTTCGAGCCCATAAAAAGGCCGGTATTTCGATTATTAATTATTCTAAAGGGATTTAACGAAAGATGAAAAATGTGACGCACTGGAATAGCGAAAGATGCCTTCGAAAAGCAAAGCAAAGTATTAAAAAAAATGATAATTTCCTGAGAAATAAAGAAAAGAGTACCGAATTTTTTTTTTTTTTTTGTAGTCCTCTCATATGACAGTGAATGCTGGACAATATCCTCAAAAATGAAGAAGAGACTGGAAACCACAGAAATGTGGTTCGAAGTTTAGAGAAAATGGAAACAAAAAGGATACTTATATTTAACATCGGGAAGACACAGTTGAAATCTCTATGACACATTATGAGGAAAGAGGGATTGGCGACTCTGATACTCACAGAAAATACTGAATGCAGGAGGAACAGAGGAAAATAAATCATATTTTGTGAGATTGACTAAATGGATAGAAGAGCAGGGTTTGAGAATAATAATAATAATAATAATAATGACGGTGCCTCCTTATTGATATGTCAGTCCCTGCAGACTACAATGTATCTTTGAAGATATTCAAAAAGCTGTCAAAATACAAAGACCTTGAAATAGAAATCTCAAAAATGTGGCATATGGGAACATCAACAATCCCTGTTGTAGTTGGAGCCCTAGAACTGGTTGGAAAAGATTGCAGTAGACTAATTGAAGGGATTCCTGGAAGTCCATGCTTCAAAGAGATACAAAAAATTGTTCTAACAAGTACAGCCCACACTTTACGAAGGGCTTTATCTATGTAATTTTTTTTTTTTTTTGTTTGTCAGTGGAAAGTGTCATGATGCCATTTCTAACCTTAGGTCCCTGGGCGGGACCCGGAAAGAAATGTGTAAACGCCAGAAATCAAAGAAAATAAAAATAATAATAATAGCCCAAAATTCAGGTTCTGCGATCAATATCCAGAAACAATCTTGTATCAATATTGTATCGGTATTGGCACCCACTGAATATAAAACCCGGCATGACAGAGTGGGTCAATATCTGCACTGGATAATCTGCAACTTCTACGGGAAGGAAACTAAAAGAAATTTGTATGAGCACCATCCAGGCCCGATTAAGGAGATAGGAGCTTTAACAATTTTATGGGACTACACAATACACACAGACAGAACAATCAAATCTAACCACCCAGACATTGTTATTAGAGACCGCAAGCAAAAAAATGTCCTCCTTATTGTTATGGCAGTCCCTGCAGACTGCAATGTATCTTTGAAGATCTTCAAAAAGGTATCAAAATATAAAGACCTTGAAATGGAAATCTCAAAAATGGATTGGTTGGAAAAGATTCTAGTAGACAAAGGGATTCCTGGAAGCCCATGCCTTAAATAAATACAAAAATTGTTCTAAAGAATACAGCCCGGACCTTACGAAGGGCTTTATATATGTAAAATATGTTTGTTTTTTTGTTTTTTTTAATTGGTCATTGGAAAATGTCATGATGCCATTTCTAACTTTAGGTCTGGAACGAAATGTGTACAAAACGGAAATCAAAGGAAATAAAATAATAATAATAATAATAATAAATATTTACCTTGTTCGGAAGTTTTTTTACGCTTGAATCTGTAAGTATTTAATTTTTAAGTGGCATTTCTAGCGGGGATCGTATCCTTGTGCAGGATGTGCAGTCGGCGTATTCTAGGTTCAACAGAAGGATGTTGAGAATACCATGGATAGAACATATGAGTAACGAGGATGTTTTTGAGAAAAACGGAAACAAAAATCAGAGATTGTCAAACTCCTTAGGGTGTATACTGAAGAAAGGCGGCTTGGGGAATTTGACACTCAGAGGACTTATTGAAGATAAACAGAATAGAGAGAAACAGCAAGTAAGCTACCAAACGAGTTTGCGCAAGTAGATGGCAGAACATGGAGTCGGAGGGATGATGAAAAGGCAAATTTGTGGTGTGTAACGACCGTCCAAGTACTGAATGGACAAAACAAATACATGATGTTGAAAGAAAGACACTTTTTTTTCTGAAACGATTAGAATTGAACAATATTTTTATCCGAATTTCCTCGATTTGCTTTTCCGCCTTGATAAAACTATACGTATGGAATCAGAGAAATAAAAAAAATTGATAGTGACTGTAAAAGTTACGTATTTACCACTGATGCTAGAAATTGGTGTATGAGCCCGCATGAAGATTTTGAACGATGTGAATACCATAGACAGAACACATGAGCAAAGGGGAAGTTCTGAAGAAAATAGAAACTAAAAAGACACTCATACTTAAAATCAGAAAGATACGGTTGAAATGTTTAGAATTCATTATACGAAAAGACGGCATGGAAAATGTAATACTCACAGGAGGTATCGAGAGAAGAATGGTCAGACTTAAACTGTGGGCAATTAATTTAATTAATAGCAGATAGCAGAACAGGGACAAAATGTGACACATTGTTTAGATCGATAAGGTGTAGGTAGTCGTGGAGAGCAATGATAATCCAAGGCCTGAAGGGACACGGTACATAAATGATGATGTTGACGTCTTAAACTATTTGGAATATTGACGCAATGCAATATTCCTAGTCTTATTTTTATCCATTGATGTTAAGCCGAGCTAAGCTAAGCTCAGTAAATATCAAGGATGATTCACCGTGGATTAAAAGTTGACAAGATCATCTGGAAGAAATACAAGCAAAACGAAGGGAAAGGAACAAAAATAATTAAAGGAAAGAAAAACACAAAAAAGAGAAACAAAAAGGAAAAAATTAAAAATTAATAAAAAAGAGAGAAAAAAGAAAAAATAAGTTGAAAAAAAATGGAGTGATCGTCCTTAGAACTTCTATTATTGAATTCACTAGAGGGCGCGCCATTCAATTGATATAAAATCACCACTATTGTGTCTGGAGCTAGAGTTACAGAACACAGTAGTGACTGTAGGTCAACGATTACATTCAAAGACAGACAGAAGATTATCAGAAGTAGTTCAAGAGAAGAAGACATGCAGATAAGAATGAAGAAAAAAAATGAAATAAAAGAAAAATGAAGAAGTTAGAAAAATAAAACGGAGGCGAAAGAAAATAATGAAAAAAAGATGGAAAGAATTAATATTAGGAAATAAAAAAGAAAAACCTACGAATGAAAGAAAATTAAGAAAGAAAAGGAAAGATAAAAACAGGAAGAGAAAAACAAATTACTATGAAAACCTAAAATAAAAAAAGTGAAAAGTAATGAAAGAAAAATCTCAATTTCAAAAGGACGAAAAAATTAAATAGTTGAAAAATGAATGAAATTTAAAAAAAAAAGAAACAAGACAAATTGAAATGGGAAAATGGAAAAAAAAAGACATTAAGAAGAAAAGCACCAAGAGAAAGAAAAAAGAAAATAAATAGAAGACATTAGAGAGAAAACCCCAGAAGAAAACAAAAAAAGGAAAAAAATGATACAATTTGGAAGAAAAAACATAAAAATAAAAGAGGAAAAAAGAAAGTAAGAGGAAAGGAAAGGAAAGGAACTACGAGAAATACTCAATGGAAACAAAATTAAACAAGAATTGAAAAAAAAAATCCAGAAGAAAAGCTCAATAAAAAAAGGAAAGAAATTTAAGAATTGAAAAAAAAGAGCACAAAAAATATAAGAAAAAGGAAAATAATCATTATATTATAATTTTTGAATAAATAAGATATATATATATATATATAGAGAGAGAGAGAGATAGATATATATAAATATATATATGTGAAAAGTGTGTGTATATAAATATAAATAAATATATATATTTAATTATTTATATATTATATATTAATAAGCGCTCAATATCAGAGATAGAGCTAACATATTTGGTTGGATAGATGTGAGTTTGTGACCCTGGGTTTCACGCTTTAGCGATCGTCAGACGATCGCTAAAGCGTGAAACCAAATCACATCTATCCAACAAATAATATATATATATATATATATATATATATATATATAGTTTTATTAAAATTATAATATAATATAATTTTGAATAAATACTATATATATATATATATATATATATATATATATATATATATAAAAGTGAACATAGAGTCAACACTTAGAGGCAACAGTCTGTTTCATGCTATATGACGATTGCATATAGCATGAAAGAGACTTCATGTTCAATTTTATATATTTACTCTATCTCTGATATTGAGCACTTTATTCCATAAATAGCATACCTTAAGACTATATTTCTTTTATATATATATATATATATATATATATATATATATATATACATATATATATAGATTTTTTATTTAAAATTATAATATAAACGTTATAACATCACTACATATATATATATATATATATATATATATATATATATATATATATATATATATATATATATGTATGTATGTATGTATGTATTTAATATAATGAATAAATCCTAATGAGCCAGGTACTATTTACATAGATTTCACAACTTGGGATCATCAGGGTGAACTGCTGGCTATCAAGGTTTTCTCACTCACCGAGTTTAAACAGATCTACTTATATATATATATATATATATATATATATATATATATATATATATATATATATATATATATATATATATATATTATATTATTTTAAGACATTTTTATGTTTATACATTCTTGTTATAGATACAAATATTTAAGTAAATGCTATGTCTTATAATAAACAGTATTAACAATATTAACAGCATTTACCGGCCTGAATGTCCGAGAAATTTTCACAGAAAATATTCGTCGTCCGACAGGATTCGAACCTGTATCCTATACGGAACTGTCATTTAGCTTGACGTGCCTTTAATCGTTTAATTGACAAGCAAGAGGGTCAAAG